TGGTTGGTTAAGAATGAAAAAAGATTATGATCTTGTCAAACCAATATTAGAAGAATATGATGAACGAATAAATGTCGAACAGATTGATCTAAAATATGAATTTCAGATACAAGATCTTTCGTTTCAATATAAAGGAACAAGAGAAACTTTTCATTTACAACTTGATGGTTCACTCAGTTTTAAAAAGGGTGAAGTTATATTGATTACTGGTAAAAGTGGATCAGGTAATTCTAGAATTATTTTCTACAAAGAATAAAACATATAAATGATATATTATAGGTAAATCAACATTCTACGATATTCTAAATGGTTCAATTCCAATGAATGATTATTCAGCTAAAGTACAAATTGATAATGAACAACAATCAACAACACTTCATTCCATTGAAAAATGTCGAACAATGGTTTTACAAGATAGTGACATGGATTATCGATCGACAATTTACAGTATGGTGACAGATATTGATGAAGATGAAGTGAATAAAAATCGAACGCCTGAACTTGATTCACTCGTATGGGAATTTTTACGTCTTGTTCAAATTGATGATTTTATTCGAGATGAACTCAATGGTGATCTTGATGAAGCAATGGAAAATAAATTGAGTGGAGGACAAAAAATGCGATTGTTATTGGCACGAGCTTTGTATCGTGCTCATAATCGTAATTCTTCACTATTGATTCTTGACGAACCGGATAAAGGTTTACCTGCTGAAATAACACTTACTATCATTGATAATATTATGAAATGGTATCGATCGAAAGGTATTCTTTTTCTTACGCTACATACTGAACGAGCGCATATGCTTAATTTCGATCAAACTTTACATATTGACCAAGGAATTATTACTAAAATCAAATAATATTGATTCATAAAATAAGAAATCCTTATGATAATCTATCAATCTCTTTTTGTTATGTTATTTATTCATTAAATAAATTTTGAGAATGGGTGTGGGTGCATCTTATTTATATCATCCACACCCACCCATTTAACTGATTGACTTGTCTATTAAATGATTTCTATAAGGTGGTTGACAACCAGCAACTATTCTGTATCACTGAAAACAAAAAAACTTGAAATTTTTTTCCACATTTTATTCAGTAATCGTAAAATAATAAGCAATACAATTTAATAAATAAAGAAAAAAGTATACAATTAGTATGTTGAGACACCTGAGTACGAAAAGGAAATATATATGGTTAATCACCAATTTTGAACAAAAATTTATGATTTTCCAAAAACAGGAATATAATTTTCCTAGATTTGACGGTATCCCAAGAGATAAATGCAGTGCTTTTGCCTTATTGCTAAAAGCTGCAATGAGTTTATTACGTAGTTTTAAATTTGGAACACGTAGTTCTATTGATTCTCCATTATCATAAACTATCAATTTATCTTCATTGATCGATACAGCAGCACCTTTCCGTAGTGTTATCTCAATCGTCGTCGTCAACCAATTAGCATCTTGAGTATCGAAAAATTTTCTGATTAATTCATCCAGTGAAACATTTTTCAAGCACTCTAATGGTCTTCCACATACGCAAAGTTTTGAAATTAATAATGGACCAAAAGCAATCATTATAGCTGACGAGCGAAAAATACCATCTATAGCATTTGCAGCTTCAAAAGACAATTGCCCATTAGCATCACGTCTGTTCACAAGCTTAGTAATCACTTCATTCGTTGCTGCTTTTTCGCCCATTCTTCCGAGAGCGTCGCAGGCACCTGATCTAACCCCTTCACTCGTATCTTCTAATGCACTAACTAGTTTAGTGATAACTTCATTTGTCGCTGCTTTTTCACCCATACTCCCGAGAGCCTTGCATGCGCCAGCTCTGACATCGTAACATTTATCTTCTAATGCACTAACCAGTTTAGT